ATATAATATTATGAAAAATTGGAGAATGCTAATGGGGCAATAATAAATAATTATTTTTATGATTTTTATATCTAGTGTCAGATTACATTTACTAACTCATAGCTTCCAGATTCTAAGCTAGTAGTTTTGGTATATCTTATTTTAGCCTGCCGAAGAAACATCATTCTTACGAATCTGATGATGATGAAATTAAGAAGCGCGGATTTGGTATTCCCCAAGCACTGCAATCTTTTGGCTGATTGTACTTTACCTACCCTAGGTTATACCATTGAACAGTGTTACGAATTATCTGGATCAAGGTATGGTCTTGGAGAAGAAAGCAAATTTAATGACTACTGCCAAGCTTACGACCTATTTTAAGGTCATAATTTACCTACAATTCTTATCTTAATATATCTGTCACAAGGGGAGGTTGCTTGTTATATTATTTAATACTATTAAAGATTATCGGAATGCCATGCTCTTCGTTGTCGTATGTACTTCTATTTTTCCAAGAAGGCATGTTTGCGACTTACAAAATTGTATTTTTGATCGATCTTTATCAGCCCTGTGATACCAGACAAAATAAATAAACCTATTACATGCCTACAATGGGGGATGTAAATGTAGATGAAGTATTCGGTACTCCGTATGTGATAGGTTTTCAGGATAGAATGGGATTTTTGGTAAATATTATCTTATTGTTAGCTGGCTAATGATATCAGACCATATCACTCTGTCTTTGAGGATGTTTGAGCAGTAATTGATTTAACAATTTAAAATGCATAGAATTCTAGGTTTCGGTATTCCTGTATGTCATAAGCTTTCAGACTAGAATAGCATTTTTTTGTAATTTTTCATCATAGCTGGCTAATGATATCAGACCATTCAACTATCTCTTCAAGGATGTGAGGGTGTCTAAGCAGTAATTGATTTAACAATTTAAAATGCATAGAATTCTAGGTTTCGGTATTCCTGTATGTCATAAGCTTTCAGACTAGAATAGCATTTTTTTGTAATTTTTCCTCATAGCTGGCTAATGATATCAGACCATACCACTATATCTCCAAGGGTGTGAGGGTGTCTGAGCAGTAATTGTGTTACAGTTTAAAATGCCAGGTATGTTACTATGTTTCGGTACTTTTTGTGTCATAGGCTTTCAGCATAGAATAGGCTTTTTGGTAAATCTTTTTTAGCTGGTTAATGATACCAAACCATACCATACCGCTCTGTCTTTGAAGGTAGAGAGGGTGTTTGCGCAGTAAGTTCGGTGTTCCTAATGTCATTGGTTTCTAGGCTAGATTAGGAATTTTTGTAAAGCTTATCTCATTGGTTGATAATGTCAAATCATAACACTGGCTATAGTGAGAGGACGGTAGGTTGTTTAACTAGTAATGGTATTAACAATGCAAACTATCAAATAGATTTCTATGTACTCATGGTTTTTCAAATCATAACCCTAGAATAAAATTTTTGATAAATCATATGTCCCATACTATGTACTATGCCTTTTAAGAAGGGAAGGCGTTCAAACATTAAAAGTATGAATTGTTCAAAATACCAGAATGGTTACTATACTTTTGTTCTTTTATTTTTCCAAGTCATAGCTTTCCAAATTGTAGAATAGGATTTTTTGTACAAATCTACATGATGTACAAAACAAATCGTAACAATAACTGTCAAGATTCAGGTCTATAAAAAAAAAACCTTCGGTGGCGAAACTGGCTGAGGAAATAACGAGGTTAAAACTGGAAAGTTGAAGCCGTGAGTTTTAGATTGAGTTAGACGGAGTAGGACTGTTAGTGAACACATGGCATAATTGTCTTAAATGAGGACCCGGAATAGAATTACTGCGTCTGACCTCACGGTCTAAACTACTTCGGCCCCGCCATTACAACATCAGAGGCAATTTCATTTTGAATCACCAAACAAATTGCCTCTCGTTTTACGTATTCAACAAAATCTGCTGTTGTGTGCAGTTAGCAATTAGATTGTTTACGTTCGATCCATCCTGAATTTGCCACTCTACCTAAAATCCACCAAGCTCAGTAGAACATCAAGTACGATTAATAAAACAAAATGGAACAAGTAAATTATTCCCTACTGTGGATTAAATTGGCAAAAAACTTAATTAAGCACTAATAGCAAACTACCTGTACTTTTATTACTTTCTTCCAAGTTAAATCATTGATCTCAACATTTCATTTCGTTGTTCTTTTTGTTTTTTAAAATTATTTGTTTCATATCATAATTCTGCAAGTTTGTATGCAGGTCTATCATATTAACAGCGATTCATTTCTTAATTTGCAATAGTGAGATCTCTGAGAACATGTTAATTGTAAATGACAAATTAAGTAATCTTTAATTAAGGTTTTGATTGAGATAAGACCTTTGACTAGATACGCCGCTGCTCTACCATTTGAGCTATCGTGACTTCGATCCACTCGGACACTAACTTCCCATCTCAACCCCATCTTTTGAATTTTCCCTCCTTTTTGGTGGGGTTGAGATGGGAAGTTAGTGTCCGAGTGGAACGAAGTCACGATAGCTCAAGTGGTAAGGCATAATAAACGTAAATGACAAATTTAGTTGGGTCGAAATATTTCTCGCCAATTGTAAAGGATGAAATGAAGGATTGTCCGTATCGGAAAGAGGCAAAGAAAAGGAAACCAAAACGAGTCGATGCAAGAAATATGGTAAGTGATAGATTAAGAGCAAGGGTGCAAAAATAGTAAGCGATTATATAGCCAGGCGGCTCTAAAACCTCTCAAAGCCTACGAGATCGACTTAAAACTAGCCAGGAACTGGCCAAACATCCAAAAAAGTTAAGATCTACAAATAGCCTGACCTGAGTTCTGGGTTATGAGGAAATTTCAGGCAACGAGACATCAGAAACCTTAGCTAACAAGGAGCCTAAGAATATAAAACTAGATACATTTTGTGGCATAAAGAAAAGTACTGGAGTCTTGGGCAACTAAAGGACACAAAAAATATGCCACTAAAGGACACTATATGCCAGGTAAGAGGGAAGCAAAGATACTACCCTTAAAAAGAACCAATGGGAGAAAGAAGAATTCGTATAACTATTTCCGGACTTGCTCCACTAAAGTCACTTAAAAATGTGGAAAACCTGGAAAACCTACAGATGGCCAATACCGCTTTTATACAAAAATGGCAAAGAAGCAGGTAAGAAGCAATAGCAAGGTGGCAAAGGACATACATACAAGGTTGTGCATAGGTATGAAGATAAGAAACGGAGACCATTTTAATGGGGCAAGTGCCCACGGTGTGAAGAAATTATCTCAGTAGAGTACTTAATAACAGACTGCAAAGAAAGAAGTACGACATCCAAACATGATCTATGACAACAGGCACAAATCGCTGATCAAATACCTCTGAGTCAAAACTATTTCTAATTGTATGTAGATCTTCGTACCTTCACGTATTTTATACGTGTTATTTATTGTAACGAATGTATTAGCTTGAATGAAGGAGCTAATCCACAATTATCTCGAAGAATATCGAGTACTCTAGGGAGGGTAGTGTGATTGAATTGTGTGTGTGAATATAATTTATTAGCGTGAATGGAGGGGCTTATCCGCAATTACCCCAAGGAATTTCAAGTATTCTGGGATAGTGCGTATACTAACTAAACATAACATTTACCTGGTCTCTGTTTTTATGCGTATATGTGTTATGTTATCTACAACTGACGAAACCCTAAGGTACTGAGAGTCACCTAGAAAAATCACCCCTGAACAATGAAGACTTCGATATCATTGTTTGGCTATCTTTTGACAAATATTGTATCCTTAAAATTTGAAGAAACGGCTGGAAAAGAAAGCAGCATCAACATACATTTCTAACAACAACAAGGATAGTTTAACTGTTTCATCTTTATGGATGTTGGGTTTGCTGGATGTTGTTAACACTATGAATTTTGGATATAAAGTGTGCAAAGAAAAGGGGCTGGATTTATGTTCTCCGACTTATTTAACCGACTAATTTAACGCGAGAGTCAATTTAATAAGCGACCGCTGAAATCGGGTTCATTGAACGAACCCCAAATGGAATAACAACGGCTTAAATACGATATATGCTGTTCTTGTTTAGCTTTTAGAAGAGAATAAAATTTCTTATAATGATTAAAAAAGACACGTTTCCAACTTAAACAAACAAATCCAATTGCATTTGTTTATTCTAAGATTTTTTATAACAATATGTGAACATTTTATAACCTATCATCACACCAAGGTTTGTTCTAAAAATAAGGAATAATAATTGGAATTCGACTCCCACATCTGTTGATATATATGGGAGAAATGAATAAATTGAATGAAAAGAAGGATGGGGTGGTAGGAAATTAATCTGATCATAAAACAACAAATAAAGAAACTGTTTATGATTGATTGATTAGATTAGTTCCATAAATGACGTCAATTTTAAAAGGATCTGGCCGTGACCGGCAATTCAGCAAATCGCGGCGTATCAACAATATTCGATTTGATGAACGGTCCTCAGTATTGATTTTACTCTGTCTGTTTTATAAAATTCGCTGAAAAAAAATATACTCGATAAATGCTTTGTTTGAACGTTAATTCCTCCGTTTTGATTTGTGATGGATGAAAACCAGTAAAAGTATGCTTGTTTAAAGCGAGAAAAGTAAGAAAAACAGATAAAACCTACACTGGAGAAATAAGGCTAAATAACTTTCCAACATAAACTTTAACTACAATGTAAAAGAGAGTCTTCTAAAAATAAGGAGTAATAAATTAAAATCGACTCCAACATCTGTTGTTATTTATTAATCTATTTATAATGTTGATTTGTTTGTTAAAAGTTTGGCCCTTCTTTGCTTTTTATTTTTATTTTTATAACCTTTTTTAATAGTTTATTTTGTAATGATTGATTTGTTGTGTTGCTTGACTGTCCTATGCTTGACTGACCTGTTTGGACTGTAAATAAATAAAATAAAGATAAAATAAATTGTAACAAACAATTCTAAATGAACGTAATGGAAACATTGACCTTTGGAACTCGTGGGAGACAAGTGTCCAGAAAATCTGAAAGGCAGAATAACAGGGACATTCCATCTCGAGACTGCGGACACACCACCTCGAACTTGGCTACTTGAACTTCATCTGGTCGGAAAACATCAAGAAAAGAGAATTCATCGAGTGAGTTTTCCATTTCCATATTTCCTTAATTTTATTCCTTTGGGGTTGCGCATATATAAATTTTACTTCAGTTATTTTTAATATAGTTTAAATTTTTATTTATTATATTTTATGTTTTTTTATATTAGTTCAAGAAGAGTAGGTTTTCTTTTTTGTAAATTTTATGTCCAAAGATTACATTAAAAAAAGAGATGTAAATCTAAATTTAAAAAGAAATAATTGGTATGAATAAATTCTGTATCCCTAACAGTGCCTTTTATTTATAATTTTTCCTTTTATAATAATAATAAATATAATAATAATAATTATTATTATTGTTATTATTATAATTATATTTATTTTTCATAAAAAATACCCTAAAGTCTAACAAAATAAAAATAAAAAAGGTGTAACAACTTTAAAGCTCATATGAAATCAATCATGGCTTCAATATCATGTATCCGACGAAATAATATAGTTTTAATAAAAAAAATATTCTAAAAATCCGTATAGATTTTTTTGGGTTTAAATTAACGAAAAAATGGACTATGATGAAAGTATGCTTAAGCATTTTTGAAATCGTAGGTAAAGTCGGTGCAGAAGAATTTCGAGCCCCAGCTTCTTTAATTTATCAAAATCTTCCGTGAATCATGAACTCTTGCGTTGTCATATAAGACCATTCTGATTTACCAACGCACATTTTGGTAAGTTTTTAATCTATTTAGTCAATACAGATTGAGTGCCACATCTTGGCAAAATGGAATAGAAATCCTTCAGTTTTGGCATGAGGCTGGCTTTTCGTCGGTATTTGACCACAAATCTGACCAACGTGGATTTTCACACAAACCATTTTTGATTTCAAGTTATTATTCTTTCCAGAAAGATTTTGTTTAAAGAGCAACGAAATCCATGTCTCACGGCGCGTCAACTACTACAGCTCAGTGAGTTCATGAATATCCATACAGTTTAGGCTTTTTGACATTTCCAATGTTTGTATTCAGTTGTGTTGAGAGTCCTCCATCAGTTTGAAAGGGTTTTGTTCCACTGTAGACTTGAGGACTAAGTCGTCAATTGATGACGAAGGTTTCCTCGTGGAATATTATAATTTTCAGTATCTCCAGCAGAACACTTCGCAAACCAACGGCAAATGGTCCGTTCGTTAAAAAAAAACATTCTCAAAACCCCCATATGTTTCTTCCAAGGTAGGTTGCCGCTTGGATGATAAGTGAATCACGAAAATCATGGGTCTACTATTCATATTTAAAGTATACTAAAAAGTCTGTAATGAATTTTGAATTCAATCAATATTTAAAAAAATAATAATAATAAACAAATAACTGGTTTTTGTATTATGTAAAGAAGTTGGTGGTAAACTACATGATAACGGTTAAAGTAAAGTAACTGCTATCACACAAGAGGACTTAACATTTTTTCAAATCATCAGCAATTAAAAATTGCCGGGATTCGAACCCAGAACCGCAAGCGTGTCGGACTAACTATTCAGCAACCGCTGTAGGAAACCGCTTAATCTTCTAGAATTTCTAAGATAATAAAAATATTAGTTTTAAAGGAAACTAGGCTCTCTATCACCTTTGTTCTTATCTAAAAAATTCTTAGACAACAAATGGTAAAACTCGATGTATAATCTTCAGTATTACAGATGCAAATAAAAAAAAGTAGGCGTGCCTCAGGGATCCGTTCTAAGGCCACTCATATATCTAATTTATTCTAATGATTTCTACTATAAATTTTCATATATAAAATTGACAGGATTTCCTGATGATATAAGATCCGCTTTAAAAGGAGAATGCGTTTCTTAAAAAAAAAAAGAAGATAGTATTATAATAATGAATTCGTATGACAAGTGGCTTAATGCAAATAGGCAATAATTAAATTAAGGCAAAACTAAAATTCTTCAACTAAAAATTTAAGAATAACACACGTGTCTCAAAATACTGTATGAAACGAAAATATTTCATCCCCTAGTTAAATTAATTTTATTTATGTGGAGTCATTTAGAATCGGCAAGAAATTAAGACCGTAATAGTAAAATTCCAAGACGATCTATATACACATATATACGTATAGTTAGTTATCTATGCATATAAAAATATAAATGAACAAATGAAGATAAAGAATAGCTGACCAAAATGACCCAAGTTATACAACTTGATACCAAAGCAATAAATAGTATAAATAGTTTTAAACTAGTTCGTAAAAATATATTAAACGAGTTCGTATCTAAAGATGAATGAAATAAAATGATGAAAATATTTTTAACCGTCTTAACTTGGTCAAGCGGACCACGAAAACTAGTGAATTTCTAACAGTTTTACGCTTTCCATATTAGGCACAGTAGGTTATAGCATATTTTTCCGGAGAACGGATCTAAAATTCCCCGGGCGACGGAGGGAATCGAACCCGTGATCGTCGAAGTTACCAGCAGACATCGGCTTATTAACTATTAACTATTCGGCTTATTAATAAATTACTCGACCACCAAGGTCCCCATCACAATGAATATTGCAAATTGAAGAATTGACAATTTCATTACCTCTGGTTTTGAACAAATTAATAAAAAGAAATCTGTTAATAAAATCTATTCTGGATTTAGTTTGCTTTATTATGACTTCATAACGCGTTGCTACGAAACGTGAAAAGTCGAGTAAACTTTTAAGCTGTGTCATGGAGTTAACATTTTCATTTAAAAAATTGAAATATTCGACAAAATAATATTGTTCACAACAATTTGTTTGACTAAAATCCAACAGAAATATCTTCTTCAATCTGAAAGTATGCTCTACCTTGTTTGAAGTGAGGACAAATCATAAGAACTAACAAATATCATTCTAGAAACTTAATATGCTTCGTCTCAACATAATCAAGTTTTTCTAGCATATGTAAAACGGTTAATAAACGTGAAACTATTAAGATAAGTAAAATACATCAAAGCTTAACTGCAAACATGTATAAATAAATTTCATCTGAATTTTTCCCTTAAAAATATAATTATTAAATCATCTGCACAGATTTTAATTGGTTTGTTAGCGAAAATCCACAAAAAAAGTACTGCTTTTCAATAAAATTGTTTAAGCCTTGTTTAAAGTGAAAAACAAACTCTACACAAATTTTTGCTTTAAGATAATAAAGTTTTATTACACGATTACACAATGTCAGGACATAAATATAAATATTTAAAGACAGGCAAAGTCTTTAATGAAATATTAATATCATCATTAATAAATACGGAGTCTTACTGATGAAATATTATCAGTGATAAAGTAAAGTTTAAAATTTGATGGAAGCAATTATAATATTTGGAATAATATTTGTATATATAGAATTTAGGATAATATTTGACAAAATGATGCAGTACTGAAGTTTAGACGTTTCTATTTTTCTTCATAACAATCAATTGGTTAATAAAATTGTAGTAGTGTTATTCTTTGCCAGTCGAGTCGTAAGGGATTTTACAGACAAATACAATAAAAGAAAAGTCGTCCGATTGTGTCTCCAACGTTTTATACCCGGCAAGGCAGAGTTGACCGTCAAGGGTTGGGAACACAGTTCACCCCTTAACGCAGTTTGTCCAAAGGTTGTACCACCCCCGGCTAAGTGATTTTCGTCCACTTTCAACAACAAATCCTCAACACCAGTTCCCTAACACGGTTTGCTCTTCCATTCCTCCGATACACATCTTCTCTGGTAATATCACCTTCTGGGAAGAGAGGTTTGCCACTTTCTTTTCAAATAGATTGTAAATTAGAAATTTATTTAACGTCTACAATTCAAGAATGGAAAATTTAGCGGTTTCTCTTTTCTAAGGTCGAGTTATTTTTGATTATTTGCTACTTTTGTTGATAAACATTAATTTAAAAATAAAGAACAGTTTTAATTAAGACAAAGAAGTTGCTAGTGGGCACTCTCAACACGACAGACAAGAATGATACATCTAAACAGAAAACAAACACTTTGAGCCCTGAAGATGATCACAATAAAGATTGAAACGTTGGCACGATAAAGAAAATGTTTTTCTAAAACTTACGTCCCACCAGACCGCATCTCACGATATCCAAATAATCATTGGCTAACGGACACTAAACACCACATAAGTTCATCTAACTAGCCAAAAATATTAATTTATCAACATAATTATATCAATCAATTTTTTCATATTTACTTTACATGGGTTCGCGTTATTTTGATAGCAATACGATTGTAATAAAAAAAATAACAATCCTATCACTGAAGATCGCTAAATGTCAAAAATAGCGAGGATAAGCGGACCAAATGATCGGTGACGGCGAAACTGCAGGTTCACCACCCTACTCACACTACACGGAAATTGTTAATTAATTGTTAGTTTGTTCAACTGATTTACACTGATCACTTTTTTATAGGTACGTCTAATCTCGCTGGTTTGTTCCTCTCATATGATTTTCGGCTTCACGCAATTTTCAGGGAAGAACCGATCCTGGAGAAAAATGGTTTTATTCAACTGCCAACAGGTCTTAAAGAGAATCGTGACAACACAAAGCAAAGCTTTCAATTAATTAAGGTTTTTAGTTGAGATAAAAAAGTCAGTGTCACGAGCGGGATTCGAGCCCACGATTTTCGGCTAGATACGCCGCTGCTCTTCCACTTGAGCTATCGTGACCTCGATCCACTCGGACATCAACTTCCCATCTCAAACCCACCTTTTGAAGTTTCCCTCCTTTTTGCCATTTTTTATCTCAACTAAAAACCTTAATTAATTGAAAGATATTAATTGGTTAAGCGGACCACGAAAACTAATGAATTTACAAAGCAAAACTTTTTATGTAGGATCAAAATTAATGAATTAATGTTCAAACCGTTCCTTTATAGAGCTTAGAGACCGGACCTCACCCCTTCAGTTTACTGCAATTACGGATTATTCAAAATCCAATCAGAAGCAATAAAGCAAAACTGGTTCCTCGGATTTTTCGCCTATAAAAGCGACCAGAAGGTTTAATTTCATGCATGATGATGACTGATTAGTGAAAACCACTGACTGTTTCTAAAAATATGGTCAGGTTTTTTCAATAGTAATTTCAAACAAAAGTGCTTAGAAAACCAAAGGCATTTACTACTAGCTCGTAATTAAACTCACAACATGATAATTTTAAAAACTTTCCAAATAATCATTTAAACACTATCTAGAGATCTAACAATTATTGAACTTGATGATACAGGAGGAGAACAATCGATAGATAAGTTTATAGTTTCTATAACTATGGTAGGTACTGTATGCAATAAAATTTTAATACCTATTTATATTATAGAAAATGAAAACGCCACAGGTCAAATTTCACGCACAGATATGAGTAAAAAAACTGGCTATATTATTGTCGAACCGCTTTCATCATACAGATTTCCCCACACTATTTATTACATGCTATCAAATTATCAATGACTATTGGTAGTATGTAATTTGGAGATAGGTTTCTGGGCAGGTTGAGTTCATTTTAAAAAATCAGCATAAAACTGCGACAACTTGCCTAGCTTTCGGCCTTAAAATTGCCACCATCAGGGATCATTTTAATAATTCACATAAACCAAATTTTAAAGCAAGGTTGCAGAATTGAATTTGTGCGAAAATTGTGACAGTATCTCAGACAATGGATTATTGATTTTGTGCATGAATTTCTAGGTCTAGTTGTAAAAAGAAAAAGTTAAAAAGAAC